GGCACGCAAGGGAACCCCAAGAGATTTGGTAATTTGGGGCCCGGGCCATTTGAAGAACATTGAGGCTTGCGGCTGCAAGGATTCGGCCAAGGCCAAGGATCAAGGGCTCTACGCGCAACTGGCGCGCCGGCAGAGGCAAGGCCACCAGCACGCCTACCTCTTTGCAGCCTTTTTTACTTGAAGGCGTCCCAACTCGTGCCTCAGGGCCCGGTGGCGGATCTTAACGTCAGCCATCGTGGACCCAGACTGCGTTTCAGCATTTCATGTGGTGCAAACTATGTGGTTCCATCTACGTGGTGCAACTAGTTTCTGCCCGCATTGAGTTGTTAATTCCACTGCTCGCGCAACCATCCCACCCCCCCCCCCACCCACCCGCAACTTGGTTTCTGCAAAACCCCAGCGGCGGCGATTGCGATGAGTGTTGGGTATTGGCTGGTGCATCTCTGCGACCGCGCTAGCCCGCGCATGCTCGCGCGCGCAGCGGCCAGCAACTTTGGCGCGACCGACGCGGCCGAGTTGGCGCCGACCGCTGGGCACTTTACAGCGGGCACTGCATTTCTAATCGACGACCCGGGCGGGCGCGGTATCATGGCAACGCCGACAACGGTAGACACGATAATGATGGTAGTGATGCGGGCGGCGATGACGACAGCGACGACGGCAAAGGCAGTGACGGCGCCGATGCGGATCACGCCGACGACGATGACGGCGACCTCGCGTCGGTGATGGAGGTTCTGGAGGGAGGTCCACACGCGCGCGCGGCCGACGCGAGAGAGTGGTCCGCATTCTTTCGCTTGACAAGGATCGTCTCCCCACCCATCCATCCACCACCACGTGCGCCACGGTTTTTGGATGATTTCGACATGCGGCGCGCGAGGCTTGTTTGGAAAATTGTTGTGGCCAAGCCATGTCGGCCTACATGTTTTCGGGATGCTTGATTTTGAAATCCCTACGAAGTCTTAAATGTTCGGGGGATGTTGGCATGCGCGCGCGACGACGCGCGCGAGTGCACTTCGTGCTATCTCTTGCAAGGGGTTCCTACGTCAGCTCGCGCGCAAGGGCGTTCGTGCGATTCCGACATGCGTGCGGGAGGGTTTCTTGGTGGCAAATTATGAACATGTTGAACGCCGCTGGTTTCCTACAAATAGCAACTCTGCAAAAAAAGCGGTGCAGGTTGCGTTCGGAAAAAATGCTTATTGTGAAGCCGTGTTCTTTTCTATGTTCCCAGGGCGCCCGATCATGAATTCCGTACCCCCCGGCAGGTGTTTGAAACATGTCGGCATGCGCGCGGCGACGCGCTCGTGTTCATGTCGTCGCGTTGGTGTATGTATGTGTATGTATGTGTATATATATATATATATGTACCCAGATATGTGCACAGACACACATTTCGTCCCGTCTTTCGCAAGGGATCCTTGAAAACTGGTGACTTTCGATAAGCGAGCGCGCGCAGAGTTCTTGGCAGAGGATGAGGGAGGGGAACCGTTTAAGCCTGGATGCAATGAGTTTAAAGATCGGATGGACGATTGGGCCGAAACCCGCGCACTTGCAATACGAAAAGGGTACCGTGAATTCCGGGGGGCGGGTGGAGAATTCAACATTTATTTAGAAACGAGAATGTACGCCATGCAATCGACGTGGTGCAATTTGCGTGGTGCAATTTCTTTTATCGAATTCGAAGTTGTTACCACCGTTGCTCGCGCAATCGGTTCAAGGGTCATCCGTTTCGTGGGAAACGCTTCGTAAGCAATGCGATCGTAGTGCTTAGTTTCTCATGGTGTATTTCATCACCGGATCCCGATCGTGTTTTTATTTGGTGGGGGATCCTTCATGAGGTACCTTTTTTTTGCACGCATTCGTTAATAAGGACCCCTTTCGATGATAACTCCTTCGTTTGGAACCCTTCAGTGAGGAACCTTGACGAAGCATGCATTCACTAAGGGTCCACCCGCGATTAATCCCTGCAGTGGGGATTAATTGCGCATGCGTCCTGTGGTAAAAGGTCAAACGAACGTCTTTAGTAAGGGATCCTTGGTACGTCTGCTGTTCGCAAGGCCCCCAATAAGAGGGATGAGATTAGTAAGCGCCCTTTCAATAAGGACCCCTGGGTAGTGATCCTCCACGATTACTGCCCTTAGGCATGCTTCCGCAGGAAGGATGCGGGCCCCTTTGGGCAAGGATACCTCTACGAAAGGGTTCTTAATTCGGAAGACGTGAAGAAAGCTCCCTCTGGTGGGATGCCGCTAGCAAGCGCTCGTTAGCATAATTAAGACCCCTTTGCCATGTGTTATAGTAAAGCGTACGCATGCCTACAGTGAGGACCCCCTCTCCATGAACCCCTGCATTAAGAATTCATTGCGCATGCGTCTTCTCATCTTTGACGTTGGCACAAGCGCCTTTAGTAAGGGATCCTTCGTAAGAATGCGGTCCGCACGGCTCCTTCAGGGAGGAGTCCTTCAATAAGCGCCCTCTCGGTAGGGACCTTTGGCAGCAATGTTCCGTTGTTACGATTTCTTTTAGCAATGCGTCCTCAGGAAGGGTGCGGGCCCTTGTGCAAGGAGACTGTACCAAGGGACCCTCAAATACGGATGAATTGTGGGATGCCGCCGTCGGTGGGATCTGGTTTTTGGTAAGGATATCTTCAGTAAGGGTTTCTTATAGTACGGGCTCGTTTTTTGTAATATATCGTGCAGCCCTCCTGGGGCCCTCTTGGGCCGTCTTGGAGCCCTCTTGGGGGCCTCGTAGGTTTGGGTCGATCTTAAAGGCTTCTTGGGCCGTTGTGAGCCTCATGGAAGCCTAAGAGGCGAATGTGCTAAAATAATAGATGTTTCCCCTGGGGAATAAAACGATGTTTACTTCTGGAGGGCCTCTTGGGACGCCTCTTGGTGGTTTCTTGGGGCGTCTTGGGACCTCTGGGACCGTCTGGAGGCGATCTTGGGCGTCTTGGAGCGATCTTTCGGCGACTCGTAGCCCACTTGGAACCTCCGGGGGGCCTTTGGGGGCCCTCTTGGCCCGTTTTGGGGCCCCCTGAGGCACCAAGGGTGCGGCGGGCACCTTTGCCCCCCAACCCCCCCCCCTCCGAACCGGCCGGATTGGGCTCCCGGGGGAGGGGTTTGGGGAGAAGGAAAAAGCATTTCACACGCCGTGACTTCAAGGGGTCGGCAGATTTTCCGGTTTTCCCGTTCTTCCGCGCGGGCTCCAGGGACGAATGGTCAAGCGCATTCCGTCGCGCAGGTTCTTTGCGTGATGTGTGCGGAAGATTTTTCGCGAATCGGAGCGCCTTCGGAGATTCCAAGCTGCATTACGCTTTGCTCTTGGGGAGTCCGTCAGTCGCAGCTGCCGTCACGCGATTTTCGAGGTAACCCCTTCGAGTGCTGTTCGCGGGCGCCGGGCGCGGTGCGCGCTGCGACCAATCGCGCGCGGCGCGGTGCGTGAATCAGCCAGCTGCGCCCGTCGGACCGCCCGGAAATTATTCCCGCATTGTAGAATGTTGAAAAAATACAGACGTTTCTGGCTTTTTGGCGCAAGCGGTTCCGGAATGTTTCCAGGTCTTTTCCAAAGAACAGTTCTGAGGGGTGAAATCCGCCCGCCGCGCAGGACATCTGAAGGATTCTGAACTCGGGAATTGTTCGAAATGGATCCCGGATTTTTTCAAATCGATTCCGGAATTTTTCAAAATTGAGTTTTGGAATTGTTCCAAAAGTAGGCCAGGCATTTTCAAAAATGTTCCCGCAATGTTCAAATCGACCTTTGGAGGAATTTTCCAGAGTCGCAGGTGTGTTGCCTTACCAGGTCTTAAGAAATCCGCCGAGGCGTGCAGTGCGCGGCGGCGGGCGACGGGACGGTGCGCCACTGTCCCCCCCCGCGCTCGGCAACGAAAAGGGGGATCAGCAAGTGCCAAACAGCCTTCTGCGGGCGACTACTCGACTGCGAATGGGTTACCGACCAGCGGCGCCAGGCAAAGTTTACCCCGCGCGAAGGCTGTCAGAGATCCTGGAACCCCCGGAACGTATCAATAGCACGCTGTGTCAATAGATTCTTCTCGTCCTACTGGAGGGCCTCTTCGGGCTCTCGTGGAGGGCGTCAGCATGTGCCCGCCCCTTTCCGTGGCCCTCGAAGTCGCCCCTTGGGGCCCTCTTGAGACGCTCTTGGGGCGAGATCGGGTGCTCTTGGAGCCATGTTGGGCGCCTTCAGCCCATCGTGGAGATCTTTTGGGCAATCTTGGGGCCATCTTCAGGCTTCAAACGAAAGTTAATCACTGATGCTCCTTAGGTGTTTGAGAAAGTCAGGCATCGTGAGGGGATATCGATGGGGCTCCGAGAGCACTTGGAGCCGTCTTGCGGCCCTCGTCGGGTCTCTTGGAGGCATGTCGGACGCCATCCTCTGGAAAACTTCAGGGCCGAAGGGAGAAAGGCGCTTGAAAAAGGAAGCAAGAACTCACTAGACCACCCGAGCCCACATGGCCGGTGAGATTCCCTTCGTTCCAGCATAGATCGTCTAAGCACTCTCGCCCAAGACCAGCACCCGCGTTTCCACACTCTGGCCCACCACTCTAGCCCTCCCAGATGGCGTCCGAGTAGATGGGGTTGGAGGAACGCGCCGCATCGCCGATGCATTGGCGATGCGGCTCGATGTGGAGCCCGACCCTTTCCACGCGGACGTCGACGGTGCATCGCCGACGCGGCGATGCATCGGGAATGCGGCGCGATTCTCCGACCCCACGTGTTCGGACCCAATTTGCGACGCATCCACGGTCAAGCCGCAGAGTTAAGGATTGGCGGCATGCCAAAGTTCCTCTTGCATCCTTCTCCGTCTGCCCGCCCTTGGCCGCTTTCGCTGGCCGCGCCCCGCTCGCAAAGCGTCGACATGGCCCTCCAAGGCCCTTTGCATCCTTAGATCGTGCGTCCTTATTCCACGGGTTGCCTGCATCCTCTGAGCACTCTCTCGCCCGAGACTGGCGCCCGCGCCTCCGCGCCCGGACCCGCCGCCGCGCCGCCCAGGCTGGAGCTGCCGGAGTGCCCGCTGTGCGCCGCGGCACTGCCCTTCTCGTGGTTTTTGCCGGGCGACCACCCGTGCTGCGAGCACGGCTTCAAGGCGCGGCCATCCGTACGGCGCCCCGCGGCCTCCAGCCTGGGGGCAGCTCCACTCCAGCCCGGGACACGACCCTCAGGGGCAACGATCGGGGGGGACAATTAGGCTCAGAGGGCAGCGCATCGACCCCGAATCGCCTACTGACCGCCGACAGGGGCCTGATAGCAGCCCAAAACCGCCCAGGAACGTGGAGATTTGCCATCGGGCGCCTGCTTCCAGTCTGTCGATGTATCGCCGATGCCAGGTCGATGCAATATTGGCCCCGACGAGAGGGAAAAGGGGGATGGAGATTCGAGGTTCTGGGTTCGAGGATGCTTTCTGTCGTCGTCGGAGGAGGACGAGGAGGAGGACGAGGAGGAGGAGGAGGAGGCCCGCGGGGCCCACGTGCCCCGGCGCCTGCCGGACTGCGAGCGCGGCCTCGCCGACCGCCGCAGCCCAAAAAGCAAGCCCTGTGGGGAAGGGGGGGGCCAGGGCCAAGACGCTGCAGCGAGAACCCCCTTGGACTCGAGTCGGGCAGGAGCAGCGTGAGAGGGGGGGGGATATGGGCTCGGGGGGGGGGGGCGCCTCGACTCCCAATCGCCCATCCGTCGCCGACGAGGGCCCCATAGCCCACCCCGCCCAGGACCGTGCCGTGTCGCTGCCGGGGGCCCAGCGCCGATCCAGGACATCCGCGCGGAGCTCCGACAGCTCAGGGGCACGCCGTGGTTGATGATTCTGGGCCCCAGTTGTCGGGCCGTTTTTGGGATCTCGGTTGTGGAACCTGCTCGTGGCCAAGGCTCGCCGTGGCCAGAAGGGCCCCTTGCGCTCCTTGCGCAGCACCCCTGGCCTGGCCCCGCCCTTCCCTTCCACTGCCCTCCCTCCTCCTGTCTTCCCCCCCGTCCTCCTCTCTCCTCCTCCTCCTCCTCCTCCTCCTCCTCCTCCTCCTCTCCTCCCCCTCCTCCTCCTCCTCCTCCTCCTCCTCCTCCTCCTCCTCCTCCTCCTCCTCCTCCTCCTCCTCCTCCTCCTCCGCCGCCGCCTCCGCCTCCGCCTCCGCCTCCGCCTCCGCCTCCGTCTCCTCCCCCTCCTCCCCCTCCTCCCCCTCCTCCTCCTCCTCCTCCTCCTCCTCCTCCTCCTCCTTCTCCTCCTCCTCCTCCTCCTCCTCCTCCTTCTCACTGGGCTGTTCCGATGTCTGCCAAGCCACCTCCCTCACTTCCAGGGCCCTCCCGAATGCCTCCCATGAGTCTCTCGCCCCGGCTCGCTTCCGCGCCAGCTTTGTGGAATTGGAGTGTAGAGTTGGAGTGCACCATGGGGAGGGAGGATTTGGAGCGTTGGATCGGAAATTTAACGTGGAGTGCAGAATTTCCTTTGAACAGGAAGACGTGGGCGCAGTGAGCGAAGACATGTCACTTGAAGCGAAGGTGGTGTGGCACAGAGCGGAAGCACATGATTACTGACAAGACGTCCCAAAATCGCGCGACACCTAGCCCTGCAAAATCTTGGACTAGGTCTGGCTGTTTTAGGGAATGGTCGTCTGAGCGCCCGGGCTCGCCATGGTTGTCCTGACTTCATTGGCTTGCCCTGACTGGCTCGATCTGATTACCCATGCAGATCAGATGTACAACAGGATGAGCAAATGTCATCAGCACTCACGGTTAGCCTATCGATGTTGATGGTTGCTTTTTCGTTGGAACATTCGGCAGGAGTTGTTCGTCATACCTCGCATCTAGCCGTTATTGTGATCGACGGCGCCTACGACGAATCACCGCCGCCCCCTTGCATTTTGGGTTACGCAAATTTGGCCAACGATTGGGCAAAGGTTGTCCACGCTATTTAACCTTGCGCTCACCCAGCCGTTGTGGAAGTCCTTCGGGGAACATGTGGGGGAGAAAGAGGAGGATGAGGAGAGGGAGGAAAAAGGATGATGAGGAGAAAATGAGTAGACCTTGGGAGCTTCTTGGGTCATAATTAGGGTCTCCTGGGGGATCCATGGGGGCCTTTTGCAGCTTGCACGCCATAGGGGGGCCTCCTTGGGCCTCTTTGGGGTCTCTGAAGGCTTCTTGGGTGCCTCTTTCACTGTCTTACGGCGTTCCTAGGAGGAGGAGGAGGAGGAGGAGGAGGAGGAGGAGGAGGAGGAACAGGTGAAGGAGGAGGGCCCACTTGACGCCGTCGGAAGCCGTCTTGGGAGCCTCTCTGGGCCGTCTTGGGGCACACTTGGAGCGCTTCATTGTCGTCTTTGGAGGCCTCTTGGGTCGTTTTGGGGCCCTCTGGGGACTGTCTCTGGAGCCTCGTGGGCCGTCATGGGGCCATCTTGGAGGCCTCTTGGAAGATCGTGGGGCAATCTTGGCGGCCTCTTGGCAGTCTTGGGCCGTCGGAAGGCAGTTTTGAAGCAATGCCAAAATCTCTGAAACACCTCAGGAATATAATTGATGTGTGTCTCTTGGGGAGGCTCTCGGGTCTCTCTTGGGACGTCTTGGCAGCCTCTTGGGCAATATTGAGGCCATTGCGGGCCTTCTTGGGTTCATATTGAACCCTCTTGAGTTCTCTTGAGCCCATCTTGGCCGTCTTGGAGGCATGTTGGGACCATCTTGGAGGCCAGACTGGGTCATCCGGGATTTGGGAGGCATCTTGACAGCCATCTTGGCCGTCTTGGGGGCGATCGGGCCAGTGGAGTTGGGTATTTTTGGGAAACTCTGGGTGGCCGGCGGGTTGGATCGAAGCCCCAGTGGGAGTTCTCTAGAAAAGAACCTAAAACCCCAGACGTTCGGCATGCCGTGCGCCTTTCTGGCAAGCCAGCAGGGGGCGGATACTTTACGGCGACGGCATTGGTCAAGGAACGTGCCTCGGAGGCTTCAGACCCTGGAGGATTCCTTCTCTGATGACGGCGGCGGTGATGTCCATGGCCAAGCCTCGATGGGAGTACCACTGGCCTCCAGACCCTGGAGTCCTGATCTACGGGTTCCTTGTTCCAATGCCCCCACGGTGGTGGCCTTCGCTGGGGAGCGCGTGCAATCACAATGGATACAGGGACCACTCTGGGCTCGGGAGGGGCCTCGCTCCAGTGTCTGGGCCGCCTCTCCGAGTCTGGGCCCTCGGGGGGGGGGGGCCTGCTCGTCGTCGAGGCCCGCCGTGGCCGGGAAAAGGCCTCCTCGCCCGTGGTTCCGCGTTCCGCACGGCAGCACGAGGACTGCAAAGGGGCCGGGGCAGGGGAGCAGGTGCAGTCAAGAGGCCGAGAGAGGGGCCAGTCTGCATCCTCAGTCTCCCTCCCTCCCACCCTGCCGCCGCGGCCCGCTGGGGCGGTGAGGCTGACCGTGGCAGTTTTATTATCTTGCACAGGGTGTCTAGAGCTCCGACTACTTTATTTCGGCACCGCACCCCCCCCCTTCATCATCATCATCATCATCATCATCATCATCATCATCATCATCATCATCATCATCATCATCATCATCATCATCAGCATCATCATCAGCATCATCATCATCATCCTCATCATCACCATCATAATCACCATCATCTCATCATCATCATCATCATCATCATCATCATCATCATCATCATCATCATCATCATCATCATCATCATCATCATCATCATCATCATCATCATCATCATCATCATCCCCCTCCGTCTCAGCGCCCTCCCCCTCCAGCGCCCTTTCCCCCCACCACCACCCCCCCCCGCTCCGCCCCCTCCCCCGCGCCGTCTCAGCGCCCCCCGCGGCTCCAGCGCCCGCCCAGTGCCCCCTCCGCCTCGACCACTTTATTTCGGCACCGCACCCCCCCCCCGCTCCGCCCCCTCCCCCGCGCCGTCTCAGCGCCCCCCCGCGGCTCCAGCGCCCGCCCAGTGCCTCCTCCGCCCCGACCACTTTATTTCGGCACCGCATCCCCCCTCCCCGCTCCGCCCCCTCCCCCGCGCCGTCTCAGCGCCCCCGCGCGGCTCCAGCGCCCGCCCAGTGCCCCCTCCGCCCCGACCACTTTATTTCGGCACCGCACCCCCCCTCCCCGCTCCGCCCCCTCCCCCGCGCCGTCTCAGCGCCCCCGCGCG